ATTTATTTAAAATGATCTATTATGAAGTGTTTCTAATTTGTATTTAGATACATTATATTTATTTTCAATTTTTCTAGTTGAGTTGTTCACCTATATTGCATATGATCCATTATTGCAAAAAAGAACAAAAGCTGCTTCAGCCGGAAATCGAACTCGGTTTGCCGATTTCATACATACACGAAAACACATACACACGCACCTACATACACACACACACACCTACATACACACACATACACGCTCTCACAAAGTTCTAATTCCACAGACTTGCATAATATTCAGTTTCACTTTGCCGAATGTCAAATGCAAAGTGTTGAAACCGGGCGCATAAGAATTCTTTTGGTTCATGTCTATATCAATGGTGTTAGTTACACAGTATTCCCAATCGTTGGTAACGAAAATCAAAATCTTTTTGTCGTCTCTGCTCTCTGTTATCCCGTATGATTGCAGCACATTTTGAACTGTATCTGAAAAGACACATCAACAAAATCACCTTATATGGTGTCACTCGTTTATTTCTCTGTCTCTGTTTCACACATAAACACAAAAGCGGCAGACATTGAATCACAATTGCATACAATATTCATTTAACCGAATAAAATGCGCATACGCATCCACACAAACAACTGGGCGCATATAGAATTGTATGCATATAAGCATACATACATTTAAATTCACGAAGTCAGATGCATACGCACACGGCCCCCGTCCTGCAGACCCGTATGTTACGAGTCCCTGTGTTCTCACCCGCGTTTTAAGCGCACCCACATACTTGCCGACATATATATATATTAAAAAGCAAGCGTTCAAACATTGTACGTTCTATGGTCCCGTATCAAACCGAGGCGCACAGACACAAAAATATACTAACGCATACCCTCATGTTGAGAAGAAGAAGAAGAAGAAGAAGAAGAAGAAGAAGAAGAAGAAGAAGAAGTTTATAATAATTATAGTAAAGACAACATCAAAAAAGAAAAAATAATTTGTTGACCATGTTGATTGGTTTACGGTCCCCGGTTTTAGAGCAATTCCTTTCTGCGCATGCGTCAGTTTTAGGATCATTTTGTGGAGTTTACCTGGAGCCCCAAACGAACACAGAATCCTTGTTTGTTTGTTTTTTCTCTGGCTACTGTTGTAAAAACGCTGGATATTTTTTCAATTTTGAGAAAGAAAACTGAAATACGAATACTGGGATACACAAAGAAACTAAGAAAAAACAAAAAACTAAACCAAACCAAAAAGGATAAATTAGAACAAATAATTTTTGTTACGGTGTCTGTGTTTACTCTTTTGTTTGACGTTTTAGACAATAAGAGAACGAAAAAAGTCTCACACAAGAGAAACTGAATGAGTAAGAATCCTACATATGCCCACATGCACACAGATAAATATATCCGATTGTATATTTATCAAAATGATATGGTAAAAACGACGGAAGGACAATAAACAGGGAAAAAGATTATCCCTTTAAACTTTGGATTCTATATTTGAGACAAACGGTAAGTTAATACGTTTTATTTTTTAAATGAGATTTTTTACTAACTGGTTTATTATATTTTAAAAAAATATTTTTGGGGGACATTCACGCGCGCACACGCACAGACGCAAGCAGACCTACACGCAGATTCGCAAACACACACACACATATATATATATGTATAGAAAAAGTGAGAATGACGGGATCAGTGATTTTGTGGTGTGTTGCAATCTACATGGGGCACAGAGCATCAAAAATGAATTCTTTTGACATATTTTATTTCTTCAGTATAAAGATATTGATATGGTTGAGATTTTAGAAAAATATTTTTAAATCTACTAATTTGAATCCTTTTTAACAGATCTAATGAGTAAGGTCACAAACGCCCCATTGAATATAAATAGAGAAGGTGAAAGAGGAAAAACACACACACATACATATATATATTTATATAAATATATATTAATGTCATTTTAGAGAATATTAAATAAGTAACGTCTTTTAACATATGCATAATATCTACAAATGAATTCAATTTTATTGTCAAATCCCTGACTATCAGAGATCTTTATATTATATTCATTATTTTTTTCTGATTAACCATTCCGAATTTATTTGATGTTTCAGCTTTAGTAAAACCTTAATACATGAATTCATAATTCGAATGGTTTCTGGAGAATTATAGATTCTTTTCCCTTCCCCGACTCAAACCAAATATAATATTGGACCCCCCCCCCAAAAAAAAAATTCTAATAGCCTGACTGACAACTATTCGCTACATTCTCGGGAATAAGGGTGAATTTAAATAATTATTTCATTTTCAAAATTAGCAATAATTAATTATTGAAAAAGTATTCGACGTTCATTGAAAATATAAATTTGTTAGTAAATTAGGTCATAACTGCAGCTAAAATTGGATCATTCTTATCCCTCCCTTGCATGTTTTGATGCTCAACGTCTATTTAGAAAAGAATTAAGAAATATTTCATTTTAAATTCTGAGATACACCAAAGATCATTCCGAAGACGTGAAAAACAAATTGATTGAGATTTATTCATCGAGGGTAGGCGATAAGAAAATTACCAAACCGTTTGACATGTCCAGTGTCATTGTTTATCTAGCGTTCATAAATGGAAATAAATTGTTATTGTATCAACACTTGAAAGACCAGGTCATCGAAGGAAGATCTCGGGACAAGCCGGGACTAAAATCACAAGGAAAGTTTTAGTCAACCTGAAATCAAGCGTAAAGATGTTCGGATAGATCTGAAGAACGCCTGGAGCAGATTGTATACATCTCAACAATTCATAATAAAAAGACATTGAATTTGCATTGAAACGACAAGGACGGATCGCACGAAAAAAAAAAAAAAAAAAAAGAAAAAAAGCCACTACGGAAGAAAGGAAAAAAAAGGTTCGTTTAATTTTTTCTAAAATGTTTTTGACTAGAACTTTCAGGACATAACCAATGATATTACTCTTTGAAGAAGAATAGCAGACAATTTTTTTCTCCGACAGTACAGCGACTCAAAAATGGTTTTAAGAGAATAAGCTTAGGTTAATGGAATGGACTTCTTAACTGTCTGACATAAATATTATCAAACATTTATAACATGAATTGAAAAATACTGTTCACAAACGGAAGCCATCAGTTCTGTACGATTCGGAATGATTCTCAATAGACGAATTAACGATTGATCAATGCCAAAGGTACCTCAATTAAGTTTGTGGGGATCGAATGCTGATACAAAAGTCGTTATAACAAAGGAATAGGAATAAAATCATTAATTCTCTTATTTATTACCAAACCAAGTATTAAACGGTTTTACTAACGCTGATTCGATAAATGTCATCAAATCAAATTCGGAATGATTAATAAAGAAAATAATCTAAGGGCCTAAAACTTTTTTGCGTATATATATATATATATATATATATATATATATATATATATATATATATATATATATAGTCATTAATGACAGGATCAGTCGTTCTGCCTGGGAAAAAAAGTGTCTGTGCGCTCTGTAGAAGTGCATAGTGTCGCTTTCTAGCACTTCCGCTTCGTATTAGAGTGTAGTATATGTGCGTCCTGTGGAAAGTGTTACATACACACATACGCGCACACACACAAACGAGCGCGCACACACACACAGGAAGAAAGTCGGATAAAAAAGCTCTCTCGACAGAGCTATAAGCACGCTGATCTTTCTCTCAAATTCTGTACATTTTTTAAAAATGCAAGTAAAAGTCTAAAAATAACAATAGTTTCTTTTTATCTGATTGAAAATAAACAATTTTGACTGCAAATACTGTTTTATTGCATATTATGCCGTTAATAATAATAATAATAATAATAAACGCTATCACATGAAAAACAAAGAAGCAAATGTATTATGTTTCATAGACATGGCCATCCTATCTGATAAAAGCATCCCAGCAATTGAATTTTGCAAACTTACAGAATATAAGGACCCAATAATAAAAATTGCTAGAATGAGGCATTTAAGCACAACAATTATTCCAATAATAAGCAACTAGGAAGGAATAAAAAGAAAACTGATACAAGTACTAAGAAAATCCTAGAAAACCCTTCAATTATCTGAGAATCGAAAGATTGTCCTTATGAGCTCCGTTCATATACTCAGAAAAATTCTAAGCAAATCTATCTCCGGGAAATCCCCTAAACTACTTCTTATAAGCACAACCCATACCACACAAATTGCGTTGTTTTTTTAAGTTTTTTTTTGTTAATGGCTGTCTTTTGTTTAATTTAGTGGAAACAACAAAAAATCATATCGTTCGCTTGTCCAAGAACATTGGTTCTGATTTGGTATGTGATTATAAAACAAGTGCAGGTCAAATGATTTTTTGGAAAATAATAATAATAATAATAATAATAATAATAATAATAATAATAATAATAAATATGTATGCGTTTGTAGTTTTTTTTTGTATTCTTTTTACACAAATGTGCAGGGGAAAATGTCATGATGCCATTTCTGATGTTAGGTCTCTAGTTGGGACTCGGGAGGCAATGAGTACACAACAGAAATTAAAATAAATGATATTAACAATAATAATAATAACAGCTTATATAATATAATTATCAAGTTCAACATCAGTAATGGAATTGCTGTTTCATTATAGTCTCTGTGCTCTTACTCTTCTTTTGATAATTTTAAGACTTAATATCATCGCCATTTTTAATTTATCTAATTTTAACTTCAGCAAACTTAACAATCGCGATAAATAAAAATCTTATCAACTCATTACAGGTTATTTAAGACCAGAAAATATTTTTTAGGTTGTAAGAATTTCTTTTGAGATAATAATGGTTTAGCGATACAAGTCTTACTTATTAACCCATAGCTGGTGGAGAAAAGGTGGATTCATACCTTGGGAAAAGCATGAATCCATCCCGCGTAAGTGAGTATAGCCAACCCAGCTGGAATTGGAACTCGAATCTCCGACTAACAATTCCGAGCAATTATCCATTGCACCACCCACACATCCAATATTATAGCACCTGATATTCTCAAGTAGTCACTCATCTTGGTAATGATCACGCTCGACATTTCTTAACTTTGGTGATCGTACGGGAACCGGTATTTCAACGTGATGTACGGTAAATAAAACGTAAAATACCATCATCTGCATCATCTATCATTTTTTTAAAATTTTCTTTTAAACAATAATGGCCACAAAAACAAATGTTATAGTTTTCATTTTTTCCTGTATCATATTTTTATGATACTCGCTGACATATTTGTTTGACATTATTTACGTTATTCGGACTATTGTCCTCATCTTTGTCGCCATATTTATTACAATGTTTCGGCCGTTTTACACTCCGGCCTTCTTCAGGTGGTTGGAATGTCGAACTTAACCCGTTATTTCGCTCGCTGGGGTAGACTGTTCTAGTTCCACGTGCCATGTTTAATGGATGTCAGTTATCAGTTATCTCCTGTTAATTTCCCTCTGAAAGTTCTCCACTGCCTTAACCGGGTATCGAACTCACACTCTTTGGGTCCTCTCACTGGATCTAACCAACGCCTTTATCCCCTGTGCCATGTGTTCTTGAGGTGACAAAGATGAGGACAATAGTCCGAATAATGTACATAATACCTCATCTCAGAAATATAGACAGATATTTGTTTGAATTGGAGACACGTGGTTGTTCGACGTTGCCATATGTACAAAGGAATTTAATAAAGTGTTGACAGTAGATACAGAAAGGAAACTACAAAAGGTGGCGAAGAAAAGAGAGAAGAAAGGATTAAAGATCAACTACAAGAAGACTGAATGCATGGGTTTTAGCAAAAGGAAAGGCCCAACATGCAAACTACGAATTGGTGATAACGAAATCAAACAAGTACAACAATTTCAATATCTGGGAAGTGTTTTAACAGAGGACGGAAAGTGCGACACTGTATTCTGAAGGTGTATTCCGATAGCGAAAGATGCCTTCCAAAAGCCAAGCAAAGTATTAAGAAAGAAACCTTTCGTTAGAAGAAAAGAAAAAAGTTATGTAATATCAGTCTTCCTATATGACAGTGAATGCTGCACAGATGAAGAGGCTAGAAACAACAGAAATGTGGTTCTGCACAAGGATGCTGAGAATACTATGTGCCCAAATTGTGAGCAATGACGCAGTTCTAGAAAAAACGGAAATAAAAAAAGTGCACTTATACTTAACACCAGGAAGAGACAAGGTACATATCGAGGAAAGAGAGATTTGAAAATTTGATATTCACAAGAAAAAATAATTTTTGTTACATTCCACGATCGCCGATTGGATTCTGAACTCCCACCAATTACAATGAATGGATGTTACGTCAGTGAGGCCCCGTGACTAGAGCGACTATTGTTCCTCAAACTTAACCTAGACTTCAAGTGGATCGGTAAAGATGCGGGAGAAATGGTCAGTTCCTTGTATCGCTCTAGTATCTAACTCTTTGTACTATCCTCTACCTTTACAAGAGCCAAATCAGGTGTAAAATGGAGTACTGCTGTTATATTCGGGAAGGAGCAGCCCAGTCCTTATTTTCTAGTCTTGATAGGGTCCAAAAGCGTCTCCGTATCCTTGTGGGGGGAATTATTTTTTTCTAACCTGCAGCCGATTTCTCACAGACGAGATGTCGTAAATCTCTCACTGCTTTATCGCTACTTCCATGGAAAATGCTCTGAAGAATTGCATTCCTTGGTTTAGCCATTTCTAACCTAGCATCCACCATGCTACTCACATTATAACAAACCACCCTCATTCCCTTCGTATTCCATTGGGGAGAAGTAAGTTCCTGCGAACCACTGCTCTGTGGGATCAAAATCCTAAGAGAATGTTTTACCAATCACTACAGTTTTAACCTGTTCAAGTCTAGGGTTAACCCCGTCTTTCCCACTCTCTAACACTCTATCTCGAGTGACTCTCGGGTCTTGTACAGGGTGAACCTCACTGTAAAAAAAAAAGCGTGATTGAAGGCAAGAGTGACAGGAAAACAACGCATAACCTTCCTGGCAAGCGTGAGTGAAAGGATAATGGAGCAGGGTTTGTGAGAAATAGCAAAAAGACGAAATTTATTAAGATATTCAGAAAATTGTGGAGAGCCAGGGTCGCCAATGTCCTGAAGGGACACGATACGTAGAAGAAGAAGAAAAGGAAGAAGAAGTATTTTCTTTTTCTTTGTATTCGATCTAGTTTGAAACAAAGAAATGAACACTATGTCAAATAATTAGTGTCGAATTTGAAATCTCAGCATTTGCTTCAAAGTCGTCTACCTCTTGGCATTGTACACGTAAATTTTATCTTATTTTTCAAGGAAGTTGTCACATTTTCGTATACAAAACAACACTAGTTTTCAAAGTTACATTAATACTGAATTATTTTTTTACACTTCCAAATATTAGAATTCAACTGAACTTTAGCGTATTCTTGTCATTTTTAGTTTTTCCTTATCATTGGGAAGGAATCTTTAGCGTCCAAGTGGCTTCTGAAAGCAATAAAATGAAATATTCTGTGCATAACGATGTCTTGAATCTGTTTTTTTGTTATTCAGTAATTTGGATAAAATCCATAATTTTAATTGCCATTATTTGTACATTCATATCGGAAGTCTTTGTGAACATTTCAGATAACAGAAGGCATCATTTATTCTACAATAATCTCTTGAATATTTCATCCGACCTGAATTCTTCTTGGAATTTCTAACTATTCCAATCTCTTTTCAAGGGTTTTTGATATCATTCCACATGTTCTACTAATTAATGAGCACGGCCATCACCTTCATATTCTACGGCTATGCAGCAGTAATAACTGTAAATTGGGTTTTCATACTAGAAATATCTGGAGACTCATATTCGAGATTACGTGACAGCAAGTTTTCTCATTATTGCTGTATTCCTGTTAATGACGTTTGGCTGGGTTCAGGTTTTCTTTTGAATTTCCAATTCGGCATTACTGAAGTAAACTGTTCTACTCGTAAAAAATAGTGGAAAATATTTTGGGGAATAATTTTTGTACATTAGAATTCCTTATACCTTCTTTAAAGCGTAGCATTTGTCAGAATCGAAAAATATTGATCTTTTAAAATCATTTTAGAAGTGGAGGTACTGTTCATAATATCCATGTGTAAAATCAATCCCTAACTTTTTACAGAGTTATCTGGATTGAGTCGACCTGCGTAGGAAAACAGACGATTTTCTTTTTATTAAAAGTTTTTTTTTTTTTTCAATAAAGAACAAATGGATATGTACATTTTTTATTTATAAAAGAACAAATATGATGATATCTGACAGCGAAATACAGTAAAACAAGCACAAACGGTGGCAACAATTCAACAAGATCCGGGTATTTCAGCGTGAAGTAATGGTTATTGAGCTTGTCTAGTTGATAATGAGTCGTGAATTTAATCCTCACAGAGTGGTCAGTCCTTGAACCAAAGATACGCTAATCTTAGCAAATTGCAACAGTTCAACCAAATATTCATTTAACTTTTATTCCTTTTTCTATTTTATCATAAACTTTCTTTCTATTTCTTTTCATTCTTCTTCCATAATAATTTCTCTCTCATATTTTCACCTTTTTCATTTGATTCCATTCTTTTTCCTTTTTCCCCCTTCTTCTATGTGCCGTGTCCATTCAGGACGTAGGCGATCACCGTTCTCCACAATTTCCTGTCTTTTGTAGCTATTAATAAATTTTATCTTTTTGATATCTCTCCTAAACCTTGCTCCGCCATCAATTTACTCAAGCTCGTTAGGTAGGTTATGTGTTGTTTTCTTCTGTCCCACTTGCCCCTCAATCTGTTCTGTGAGTATCAAATTTTCCAAGCCTTCTTTCCTTATGCGCCCTACAAATATCAATTGTCTCTTCTTGATGTTAAGAATTGGGTTCGTTTTCTTTTCCATTTTTCTCTAAAACTTTATCGTTGTTCACATGTTCGGTCTATAGTATCCTCAGCATCTTTCTGTAGGACCACTTTAAGTTTCTTCTTCATCTATTTTCCGTCACCTTCCTAATTGTCTTCGGAGTTGAATAAAAAATTCAATGTTCGTCGTCGTCGGCGTTATGTCGTATTCAAGAATTTAATTTTTTTCTTTGCTGATCGCTTCCTTTATGATAATGGCGTTCGATGACTAAATTCGCCACCAACAAGCAGGTTAAGGGCTAGAAGCTCCTGCCATCCATTCTCTATCACCGTTTGGCTTTGAAAGAGTTGTTTGGAGGTGAAAGAAAATCAGAGAGGAAGAAAGTGCCGATGGTGTGAATTTGTTTAAGGTAGACATCAACTTTACAGGAAATGACCCACACACCTGATTTTCATGAGTTTCCGCTGCGGCACATATAGAATGAAACATGCAAATTCCAGCTATGAAACTGTAACGAACATCCGCTGAATCTGTTATAATGTTACGTATGACATCTTTAGCCTTGTGTTACAATAACGCTGAAACAAATAAAATGGATTGGTTTGTTTTGGTTTAGTTTGTTTTACGGCATAGCAATCTCAATGAGTTATTTTGTGCCGACAATATTTTTTATTGTTGGTAATACTTTTTTCATAAAAATGTCTTGCTGGTAATATTTTTTTTTAGAAAATGTATTGCTGGTAATATTTTGTTTTTGTTTCCAAAAATATATTGCTGGTAATATTTTTTTCTGTAAAAAATGTATTGCTAGTAATATATTTTTTCAAAAATGTATTACTGATAATATTTTATTTTCAAAAATGTATTGCTGGTAATAATATATTGACGGTAATAATTTTTTTCTTCAAAAATTCATTGTTTGTAATAATCTTTTACAAAAACGTATTGCTGGTATTAAAACCTATTTTTACACTTTCATAGTGTTTTGCTCCCAGTTTAGGGGTTAACTATTTGCCCATAGCTGGGACCCTAACAGATGCTACCACCCCGGTCAGGGTGAACCTGGGGACATCAGCAATTAAGAGGTGGTTCCACGCTCCTCAAAACCTCCTGATCAGAGGCCTTGCTGTTGGATGTAATTTATCGTCTTACCCAGAACGGAATAAAATGGATGAAATTCAAAGGAGAAGAAAAACCCGACACATCGGTCATTACAAAAATTTGATAGAAAATCTTGTAGATGCAACCAG